AAACAGCTTTACAACAACTTACATCATATAAAAAATTAACTGGACAAAGACCAAAACAAACACACAGACAAGCTTCTGATAATACACTAATCAGAATATATTATATTATAATTATAAGCAACAGGATACTTATTGGTGTAAGAGTAAAGAAGTGTAGTGATGTACTTACATAACTACCAACTAATGAAACCATCTAATAATAAAATAATAATAATGATGTTGTCTTCAGGCAAATGTCCATATGGAGAATTTAACCATATAACTCACCGTCACAGCCACAAGACACATCAGCACAATCTAACTCACATTAGTATGTTAAACTCTATTAATTGACTCAAAGTTAAAGGTCAAAAGATTTCTGACTGAAATTGAAGTTTTAAATTTCAGTTTTATTTTCAGACAAACTGTCTACGTTCAGTCTTTTTCTATCTGAAAGTAAGAACGATGTAAAAATGTCAGTAAGTACAGAATCCAACCTACAGTCAACCTGCAGTAAGTACAGTTACTGCGCTCTCCCTCGCTGTCTCTGAGCTTTGGCTGCAGTTTTGGGGTTATGGGTCAAATAATTGGTCATCATTTATAAACACATATTTAATAAGAACATAACCACCGTTCTACCTAAAACACATTTGGCTGGATGGTTAAAAACCTTTGAAGCCATTTTCCTCAGTTTCATTGTTAGTGTAGTTACTGCGGTTTGGCTTTGTAGGGCAGAATAAAGTTATTTATTTTGAACATATAACAAAGCTAGACATGCAGGTTTTGGAGGAATGGCAGTGTTAGACATAAAGTAAGTACATTTACTAAAGTGCAATACTTAAGTACAGTTTTGAGGTATTTTTATGTTACTTGATTTCAGATACTCGACTACCTTTCATTGGGTAATATACGGTTGCACTAAGAGCTCATCGCACTGCGACTGAAGTGTCATTGTCATTCTGGGAACAATCAACTATCTTTCTCCACAATAACTGACTCCACCTTTAAGAAAGTGAAAAAAGAACTTCTGCAGTTAAAGAGTGATGGACCAGCCAGACGCTGCTGGGACACTTTCCTTTGGACAGAGCCAGGCTAGCTGTTTCCCCACAATGCTGACTACATATAACTTATTTAAACAAACATGTTTAGAACTGAGGAACCATGATTCATGTTCTCATTTCAGTGAAACATCATTAACTGGATCATTAACTGACTGTAACCTGTCTTGGGTTACATAACTCTATCCTGCTGGGAGACTTTCCATCAGTAATCACATTGTCACACACAACTCTTTAGCATATCTCAGCTGTCATCATAACGTCTCTAAACAGCACTACGACCTTCTTATGCACCCATTTCATACTGATTCTCTTTTACATTCTTTTTTTCCTCTTTTTTTTATTCAAAACCCATCTGTTTTTTGCATGTTATTTATAGGCTGCTATACACAGTCAGATTTGTTTGAATTTGAATTTAAGGGAAAAAAAGGAGGAACTAAACTGGTAAAACTGGTAACTGGTTGGACAGCAGTATACTGTACACCTACCACTACATTTACAGTTCTTGTATATTATATTTCTCAAATAAAGTTGAATTGAATTGAATTGAATAAACCATGCTGCACCCTCAACAATGTCAAATTAGTCTTCTTCTTTTTCAAGGGTACTCTGAATACAACCTGCAAGTAAATTTAAATGGACAAATCATAATACATATTTTCCGGCTCACCTACAGATTTATTTATCCACCTTCATTGTTTTGGTGTAAGTTGCTGAGTTGTGTAGAGATGTCTGCCTTCTCTCCAGTAAATAGAACCAGACGGAGCTCTGCTTGTGGAGTTTAAAGCTCCAAATCAATACAACTGAAGAACTCAACATGTGTCTCTTTCCAGAAATCATGACCCTGTTACTAAAGATAATCCACAGACTTTGTTATGTTTGTCACATCGGCCAACTCTGACTGGGGGATCCCGAGGCGTTCCAAGGCCAGTGTGGAGATACAATCTCTCCACCTGGTCCTCGGTCTGCCCCGTGGCCTCCTCCCAGCTGGACGTACCAGGAACACCTCCCTCAGGAAGCGCCCTGGAGGCATCCTCACCAGATGAACCATCTCAGCTGGCTCCTTTCTACGCAAATGAGCAGCAGCTCCACTCTGAGTCCCTGGCGGATGACCGATTTTCTCACCTGAGACGCCGGTCACCCTCCTGAGGAAACCCATTTCAGCTGCTTGTACCCGCGATCTCATTCTTTCGGTCATGACCCATCGCTCATGACCATAGGTGAGGGTAGGAACAAAGATCGACAGGTAGATCGAGAGCTTTGCCTTTCGGCTCAACTCTCTTTTTGTGAAAACAGTGCGATAAAGCAACCGCAATACATCTGTACACAGCTTGAATGGTTCCCCGCTTCCCCCTGCTGAGGTGTCGGACAGTTTTCCAGAAGCGCCTGGGTGCCGTCTGAAACGCTTCTCCATGACTTCTCCGAATCAAGTCAAACCCCTATCCAGGAGTAAGGATCCAGAGTCTCGACTGTGCGTAGAAGTAAGCCCCACCAGATCTAATTCATAGCGCTCCACCTCCCGCACAAGTTCCAACTCCTTACCCCCCAACAAAGTGACATTCCACATCCCCAAAGCCAGCTTTTACTGCCCGGGTCTGGTCTGTCGAGACCCCCTGCCTTCACTGCCACCCATTTGGCATTGCTGGTAAAACTGGTAACTGGTTGGACAGCAGTATACTGTACACCTACCACTACATTCACAGGTCTAATATATTATATTTAGCCTAGAATGAGAGAGGTAATCCAACACAAATCTCTTTCAAAGCTGCAGTATCACAATAATGGGTTTCCTTCACTCGAACCTTAAAGTTTTCTTCTCTGCATCCACAGTATGAGTAACAGCACACAGGACATTCCTGACAATCAGCACATTTCTAAGGAAGAGCAAAGTTGTCGTGTGAAATGTGAGATTGTTGTGAGTGCCAAGCTCTGTAAAAGCCTTAAAATAACAAAATATCTTTATTTCTGTGTATGTATAAAACAAAACAAGTCTCAGACAACACAGAGCATATCTCACTGGCAGGAAGTCGGTAATAAAGTTGTGCCGTTCAAGAACGAACCGAATCTATTGAACGGCTCTTTAACACGAACGATGGGAACCGAGTCGCAGTTGAGAGCCGTCCTTTTTCTTTATTCGTTCTTTGTTCTTTTTTTAAATCGCTGTCATGCACACAGCATGCGCACACAAGCTCCTCTTTACCTACTCCACTGACACAGAGAGCATGCACAACAGGGGGAGGAGCGCAGCAGAGTACACGTGGGGTGTGTCAGGGACCGAGCTGGCAAGCATGAGGAGTCAAGGATACATTTTCACAAAAAAAATTTAAAATAATCAATTTACAAAATATACAAAATGTTCTGGGCCCATAAAAGAGGTCAACTAAACAGAACTTAACTCAGGCTACATTAACTGAACGAACTGAAGCTACTAAGCCAACCAACCAAACCAACCTAACTAAACTGAGACATTGGGGAAACTTAAATAGTGGCTGATCAGGCCACTCTGACACACAGGGGGAATAGACTAAAACACAACATTTAAACAAACCATAATACCCTCCAATAATATCCAGATAATGCAGCCAGATATTAACCAATGAAAATACTGAAATACTAAACATCAAAAAGAATAATAATCAGAAATAACTCAACTCAAACAAGGAGAAATCACGCCTCTCCCCATGATTCCCGCCAACATGGTGTAGCCCAATTATCGGCCCCACCCTTTTTAAGCGTCTCTGATTCTGCCAGCACTTCCTTTGTCAGCCACGCAACATCTTAAGCTGCAGCACCCAGGAACTGGTAACTCAAAGAAAGCTAAATCAATGCAATGAAAACCTGAATGAACCTAATACTACCCAAAATTGACAAAAGACGTTAACTAATTGTGTGAACCCCAAAAGGATAACGGCTGTCAGACATTGATAATAAAACTGTATTATGAATCCAAAATCTGTGTCCAGTTATTTATTGTGAATTGTGTCTAATGTTCTAAAGATAATCAAACAAATGAAAGAGTTACCACCATGTGCCTTCCTCAATGTGTGGCTGCTAGGGCGTCCGTCACAGGGTGCAAGTTTCACATGACGTCATCTGAGTTGTCCGACACACTGCCTTCACGTGAGTGTCAGTACCGCAGCTACAATGAGCCACAGAAAGCGCAGCAGCACTTCGATGCACCTTTCGGACGAATAAAACGGCAAAGCAAAGTGTAACATCTGTCAAAATAATATTTCCTTCAAGACTGGGTCAACAAACCGTTTGCATTGCATCCAAATCTTACCCAATCATTCCTCCCAGTGATTATGTTCCAGATAAAATGGGTTACCCCACGCTAGCTTCTTAAAAGTAGATACATATAAAAATGAGCCAGAAGATCCGGCTCCCTTCAAAGAGCCATAACTCTCATCTGTAGTCAGTAACGGAAAGAATCCAGACACTTTAGTTGAATGAAATACCCCGTGCAGACTCTGGATCAAATCTCATGCTACGTCAACATTGTAGAACCAGAAAGGAAATCAATCAGAGGCCATTTGAAGAAACAAACCATTTTGTTAAGTATGCATTTACAATGTCGGACAGAAATACGTTTAAAGACGCTCCGCCTCTGAAACACTCTCGGTGGGATCTGAAGACAGACAGATTTGTAAATAAAATCCTGATAATAATCCCATCCAGATACATTTCATTTCTGAACACACCTATCTAATGCAATATTTTGATGTGCCGTTGTTAAGTTGGTATGTTTGGACACCAAAGTGAACAACATTTCTGGACTTTTTACCACTGTTGTCTCCATTGTAGTCCCTCTGCTCCCAATCCTTTTCTCTTACAGACAGAAAGCTGTCAGTACCTGCACACCTCACCTTGTGTCTCTCATAAACTTTTCTTTTGGCTGTGTGTTTGAAATAGTTCAGAGTAGATTTGATATGAGCAGTGTACCCAGTGTGCTACGAATCATTCTCTCACTGTACTTTGTGATACTTCAACCACTTCTGAATCCTATCATGTATGGAATGCAAATGTCCAAAATACGAAATACATGTAAAAATCTCTGCTGTTAGAAAATGTGGACTGGACACAGGGACACGGTATAAATAAAAGATTAGTAAATCCTTTATTTGAAAAACATTTACTTTAAGGTGATTTTCACTGAACGATGTGAAATAAATATTGAGTTGTGTAATAATAAACTCATTTTAACTGAACATTCAGTAAATAATATGAAGTAAACATTTTATAATGTTTGTTTGATCAATAAAGTTATTTTAAAAAAAGAAAAAGAAACTCCGACGTCATTGCGAGGCGACCGCACATGTGCGCATGCGTATATGACCGTAGAAACCCCATTTTGGGTCTCAGCGCTAACTGGGAGCTAGCTGCTAGCGGTTAGCTTCGTTACTTTGGTCGGTTTCTGTTTGGTTTCCCGCGCTGAGATTAAAGAACACGAGACTGACCCGCCTCCAGACCCGAACCCGAACCCGAACCCGAGTCTTCGTCTGAGGATGGACGGCGGAGAGGAAGACTTCCTGTCCGGAACCCGCTCCGGTAAAACCCGCTTTGTTTCCTGGTTAACGGCTAACGGCTAACGGCTAACGGAGCTCGGCACAAACATTAAACTTTAAACTGTCGGTGATCGAACAACTACAGTTTTATTACAGTCCGCGGGTTGTTCACATTGATCTTCATGAGGCGGACAGCTGCGTCACAGCAACGTCACAGCCTCCGTCGGTTTAAAGTTACATCACTGATCAATACTCTGATTATTAAAGCATCAATCAACCTGATCAGCCTTCAGCAGTCAGCTAGTGTTTCTGTAGTGGAGACTAAACGTTAACAATGATCCATATCAGCAGTTTGAATCCAACTAAAAGCTCCCTGCACCAAACTCCCTTTAAGAAATATCACATTTTAACAATTCCTAACGTGTTCGTAACAACACGTAACTCTAGAAACACGAGCTAAAGGCCGTCATATGTCCACAGTCTGACTGTCAATACAGGATCAATATCATCCATAAAGATACAGTGTATACTGATCAATATCATCCATAAAGATACAGTGTATACTGATCAATATCATCCATAAAGATACAGTGTATACTGATCAATATCATCCATACAGATACAGTGTATACTGATCAATATCATCCATAAAGATACAGTGTATACTGATCAATATCATCTATAAAGATACAGTGTATACTGATCAATATCATCCATAAAGATAGTGTATTCTGATCAATAATCTATAGATACAGTGTATTCTGATCAATAATCTATAGACAGTGTATACTGATCAATAATCTATAGATACAGTGTATTCTGATCAATAATCTATAGATACAGTGTATACTGATCAATAATCTATAGATACAGTGTATGATCAATAATCAATAAAGATACAGTGTGTACTGATCAATATCATCCATACAGATACAGTGTATACTGATCAATAATCTATAGATACAGTGTATACTGATCAATAATCTATAGATACAGTGTATTCTGATCAATAATCTATAGATACAGTGTATACTGATCAATAATCTATAGATACAGTGTATACTGATCAATATCATCCATAAAGATACAGTGTATTCTGATCAATAATCCATAAAGATACAGTGTATACTGATCAATAATCCATAAAGATACAGTGTATACTGATCAATAATCTATAGATACAGTGTATACTGATCAATAATCTATAGATACAGTGTATACTGATCAATAATCCATAAAGATACAGTGTATACTGATCAATAATCTATAGATACAGTGTATACTGATCAATAATCTATAGCTAAATGTATTCTGATCAATAATCTATAGATACAGTGTATTCTGATCAATAATCTATAGATACAGTGTATACTGATCAATATGTTCTGTAGATGACGGAGGCGGCACTCCGGTTCTGGATGAGCCCCGCGGGTCAGACGGTGAGGACATGAGGAGCGACAGACATCCATCTGAGGTGAGACAGTTTGGGGGTTCGGGTCCTCGCGGTCCGGGTTCGGTTCTGACTCTGTTTGTGTCGACAGGACGACGGCAGCAACGACGAAGACGCCCCGAACGCCACGGAGACCGGCGGGACGGCGAGCGGCTCCGACCACGAGGACCACAGAGGAGGAGCCGACAGCGACTCGGAGGGCGACGCTCCCGGTGGTCGCCACGGCAACAACGACAAAAGCGACTCGGAGACCGAGGCCCCTCGGCGGGTCGACAGCGACGACGGCGCCGACTCTCCGGTGAAACGCAGGATGAGCGGATCGGACAACGAAGAAGAGTCGCCCGTTAAACACGGAGCGTCAGATAACGAGGAGGCGGGAAGGTCGTCTCCCGCCAAACGGAGGGGGAGCAGCTCGGACCTGGAGGAGGGGGGAGGGGGGAGGGGGGAGAGGCCCAGAGCGGCCGCAGACAGCGACTCCGATAACCAGGACGCCAAACCGGCAGCGTCCCCCAAACGCCGGTCCAACGCAGACAGTGACTCTGAAACAGAGACGCCTGCCAGACGCAAGGCGGCACAGATAGACTCTGAGGAAGAGGAGGAGAAACAGCAGGGGGAGGAAGAGGGGGGAGGAGGGGGAGGGAAGTGGAAGGCTGTGATGCAGTCCGACAGCGACGAGGAGGAAGATGAGGGGAGAAGGAAGAAGGCTGCAACCGGGAGCGACGGAGAGCAGCAGGAGGAGAAGGAGCAGAGAGACGACAGTGAAGACGACGAGAAGCCAGGTACTGACCTCCGACCGCCTCGTTCTGACCTCCGACCGCCTAGTGTTGACCTCCGACCGCCTAGTGTTGACCTCCGACCGCCTAGTACTGACCTCCGACCGCCTAGTACTGACCTATGAGCCTGTACTGACCTCCGACTGCCTTGTACTGACCTCGTACTGACCTCCGACCACCTTGTACTGACCTCCGACTGCCTTGTACTGACCTCGTACTGACCTCCGACCGCCTTGTACTGACCTCGTACTGACCTCCGACCGCCTTGTACTGACCTCGTACTGACCTCCGACCGCCTTGTACTGACCTCGTACTGACCTCCGACTGCCTTGTACTGACCTCGACTGACCTCCGACCGCCTTGTACTGACCTCCGACTGCCTCGTACTGACCTCCGACCGCCTCGTACTGACCTCCGACTGCCTTGTACTGACCTCCGACTGCCTTGTACTGACCTCGTACTGACCTCCGACCGCCTTGTACTGACCTCCGACTGCCTCGTACTGACCTCGGACCGCCTCGTACTGACCTCCGACTGCCTTGTACTGACCTCGTACTGACCTCCGACCGCCTTGTACTGACCTCGTACTGACCTCCGACCGCCTTGTACTGACCTCCGACTGCCTCGTACTGACCTCCGACCGCCTCGTACTGACCTCCAACTGCCTTGTACTGACCTCGTACTGACCTCCGACCGCCTTGTACTGACCTCCGACTGCCTCGTACTGACCTCCGACCGCCTCGTACTGACCTCCGACTGCCTTGTACTGACCTCCGACTGCCTTGTACTGACCTCGTACTGACCTCCGACCGCCTTGTACTGACCTCCGACTGCCTCGTACTGACCTCCGACCGCCTCGTACTGACCTCGTACTGACCTCCGACCGCCTCGTACTGACCTTGCACTGACCTCGTACTGACCTCCGACCGCCTCGCACTGACCTCGTACTGACCTCCGACCGCCTCGCACTGACCTCGTACTGACCTCCGACCGCCTCGCACTGACCTCGTACTGACCTCCGACCGCCTCGCACTGACCCAAACTTTACATTCTCTTTTTGCAGTGAAGAGGAAGAAGGCCATCCTGTCCGACAGTGAGGACGAGGAGAAGGCAGATAAACCAGGTAAGTTTGACCTCACTGACACTATGAATTGTGGGTAAGTTGCAGGTTAATACCTTTGGGCCTCGCTGTGTGTGACGAGCTGTTTTTGCTCCTCAGCGGTGAAGAGGAGTCGAGCGGTGTCCGATGACGACAACTCAGACAGCGACGGCGGGTTGGCGGGCGGTCCCGATAAGAGCCTGGCGGCGAAGCTGCGAGAGCTGGGCTCGGACAGCGGGAGCGAGGAGGACGAGAGGTCGAAGGCCACGCCGGGGAAGAAGGACGAGAAGGCGCTGTTCGGCAGCGACAGCGAGTCTGGAGACGGAGAAGAAGAGGAGTGAGTACTGCTGGGCCGGGTTGATGTTAAGATTTTAACAGACCCTAAATCTAAAGCTAACAGGTCCCACACCTGTGTTTGCTGATGTGACCTTTGACCCCTGTGCCCCCCCCCCGCAGGAAAATGATCGCAGACATCTTCGGAGAGTCCGGAGACGAGGAGGAGGAGGAGTTCACGGTGAGTGAGACTGCGTCTGTTTGTTCCTCCTGCGTGAGAGCGAAGCTGCTCGTCCGGGATTGAACCCCGACTGTGTGCTCCTCCTGCAGGGCTTCAACCAGGAGGACCTGGAGGGGGACAAGAAGGAGTCCAAGGGGAAGCAGGAGCAGGTGGAGGAGGAGTCCGACTCTGATGAAGGAGTCGACCGCAGCGGCCAAGAGTGAGCGGCAAAGTGTCCTTAGATCTACACAGTGGGTAAACGCTAACAGAGGCTAAAGCTAACGGCTTAATGTGTGTGTGTGTGTGTGTGTGTGTGTGTGTGTGTGTGTGTGTGTGTGTGTGTGTGTGTGTGTGTGTGTGTGTGTCTGTGTGTGTGTCTGTGTGTGTGTGTGTGTGTGTGTGTGTGTTGTGTGTGTTGTGTGTGTCTGTGTGTGTGTGTTGTGTGTGTGTGTGTGTGTGTGTGTGTTCTGTGTGTGTGTGTGTGTGTGTGTTTTGTGTGTGTCTCTGTGTGTGTGTGTGTGTGTGTGTGTGTGTGTGTGTGTGTGTGTGTGTGTGTGTGTGTGTGTCTGTGTGTGTGTGTGTGTGTGTGTGTGTGTGTGTCTGTGTGTGTGTGTGTGTGTGTGTGTGTGTCTGTGTCTGTGTGTGTGTGTGTGTGTGTGTCTGTGTGTGTGTGTGTGTGTGTGTGTGTGTGTGTGTGTGTGTGTGTGTGTGTGTGTGTCTGTGTGTGTGTGTGTGTGTGTGTGTGTGTGTGTGTGTGTGTGTGTGTGTGTGTGTGTGTGTGTGTGTGTGTGTGTAGCACCAGCTTCATGTCAGACTTCGACATCATGCTCGCTCGGAGGAAAGCCATGAACAGTAAGAAGAGGCGTCACCGTGACGGAGGGACGTTCATCAGCGACGCCGACGACGTGGTCAGCGCCATGATCACCAAGATGAACGAGGCCGCGGAGGTTAGCCTTTTCAAAATAAAAGCGGTCAGTGACTTCCTGTCAGTGCGATTACTCACCGACTGTGTGTCTGTTCAACAGGAGGACCGAACTCTCAACAGCCAGAAGAAACCGGCGCTGAAGAAACTCACTCTGCTGCCGCAAGTCGTCATGCACCTGAAGAAGTGATTGATCTTACCTATATCATGCTAACAGACTGATGCTAAGCTATCAGGTTATGAGCTAACGGTGTTGTGGTGCCGTTTGTCCCTCAGACAGGACTTGAAGGAGACGTTCATCGACAGCGGCGTGATGTCGGCCATTAAAGAGTGGATCAGTCCTCTTCCGGACAAATCGCTTCCCGCCCTCAGGATCAGAGAGGAGCTGCTCCGGATCCTACAGGAAGTGAGTACCGGCTTCAACCGGCAGGTCGCGGCTTCGGGCCCGAGGTCGGCGTCTCACTGTGTGTTTCCTCCCTGCAGCTGCCCAGCGTGAGTCAGGAGACCCTGAAGCACAGCGGGATCGGACGGTCCGTCATGTTCCTGTACAAACATCCTAAAGAGTCCCGATCCAACAAAGACCTCGCCCTCAAACTCATCAGTGAGTGCTTGAAAACCTTCTCTATGTAACGTTAAACTGCAGCTAACAGCGCCGCCGGTGGACGCTCAGTGAACTGCAGCTAACAGCGCCGCCGCCGACCCTCATCCTACATAGAGACACATAGAGATCAGTCCACAGGCAGCAGAGGGACAAAGCTCCACTACAACCCGATCACTGATCAATAATCTGATTATAGAGACAGAACAGGATTCACAGTCTGACAGATGGAAGCGTTTTAATGGTAGATGTTGAACATGGTCCCCGTGGGAACCGGGTCAGTTTAGTGTCTTTTTTTTTTTTTCCAGACGAGTGGTCGCGGCCGATCTTCGGGTTGACGTCGAACTACAAGGGAATGACGAGAGAGGAGCGTCAGCAGAGAGATCTGGACCAGCAGATGCCTCAGAGACGACGACTGAGGTACGAACACGAACTGAAACGACCTCCTGACACGAAGGAAAAAGCTGTTTCTTGGTCTGACTCATCAGGAGGCTCGTGGACTCGCTGCATCACAAACATCTGCATCAAAAGACCAAAGAGTCTTTTATTCTGTGTTCTCCTGTTGTTGGGTCGTTTTTTATTATCTTCAGTCCTTTTCATTCTTTCATCACATGTTCTGTTTTTCCTTCCAGCCTTTCTCATCCTTCTATTGTTGTTTCTGTTTAAGGGACAGTTCACCCCAAATACGTTTCCTCTCACCTGTAGTGTTATTTATCCATCCAGCTAGTTTCATGTTTTTTATTTCTTAACGTTAGCTGAATCTTAGCTACCCTAGTTGTCACATTACAGCTCAAGCCGAGGAGGATTAATGTGAGGAGTCGGTAATATTTATACAAATCTGAAGTATTCATAGAAAGTTCTGAGGACCCAGGATGCTTCCCTGAGGAACTCCACAAACCCCTAAAACTAGTACTGCAGCCCACACTGTAAGTTGAAATTGCCAGGCGAGGTACAGACAGCTGCACGTACCTCAAGACAAGAACAATGTAAACCAGCAGGTGGAACTATAATCAAGGTAAATGCAGTTTATTTGCCTCCGCTGGTCTCCGGGGGCAGCTTGAACCCTGCTAATGCCTGCTTCCAGGTGTAGTTACTCTTGTTTGGGTCCTGCTCTAACAGTGAAGTCTAGAAAGTAGACTGGAGCCGAAAACTTGAACTGAAACGATCTAAACATCCCGACAGGTGGGAGGATAAATGTGCTTTAGATTGTGGGGTGAACTGCCCCTTTAAGTTCTACGTTCACTCTTCTTCTTTCATTCCTCTTCATCCGTCCCTTTCATCCCTCCTCCTCCTCCTCCCCAGTCAGCCTCCGAAGGTGGAGAGGGCGGAGGAACCTGACGTCTTCTCTCCGCCCATCAGGTTCAGTCACAGAATTGCATGGTTGCACTGCAAGTTCTGGTTCGAACGCACAGACGTGATCCTGGTTGAATAAAGTCTGATACCGAGCTCTTACATCAGTCTTCTTTAAGTTATATTTGTCGTAACGTTTCGAGATCCCGTTTTTCTTGAGTAAATATGTTGATTTGTTTTGTAGAGGTAACTATTGATTAGAAACATGACAGACACATTCAATAGCTGAATGTTACGTTTTGTTTCTCTGACACTTCCCACGCGTCCTGGAAAACCTGGAAGTTTTAGAGATGAATTATCCAGTCATTGAAACGTGGAAATTAATTAAAATGACCGAATATCCTGGAAAACTTTAATAGTATAAAATATATTTAATATACTCGCTCAGATCACATAGACCTCGGTGCGTATTAGTGCTAACATGATACATTTAACTAAAAATGTCTGGAATGTTTTTGATTTGTAGTCCAATCTGTAGAACCAGTACTTCATTATAATTCTGCACTTTGTCCTTCTTCCTCTTTAACGTACTGTACTGGTCCGACTGGTGTATGTCTCTACGAGAGCTGCTCTCTAACACTGATTCACAGCAGCTCGTCCGCTCGCGGCGATCAGCAGCCTGACCGTGTTTGAGTCCCCCGACCTGCACGAGTCAGGTGGACGTTCCTCCTCCTCGTGTTTCCCTGCGGCGATTTATAACGCGAGGAGGGAGTCTGTCGAGGTGTCGGGTGTTTCCAGAATCACTGACTAACTGCTGTGAGGTGGAGAATGCTAATAATAGCATGGAGGCTCCGCTGGGGGGGGGTTCTGCTCCAGTTCAGTTCATGGTGATATAAATTAAAGTGTCTCTCTCTCTCTCTGTAGTTCGGGAGGTCAGACGCCTCGCAGAGACCTGGAGAAGCAACTGACCGGAGAGGAAAAGTAAGTTGAAGCTCAGATTGAAGCGTAGAGAGCGCCACTTTTATAATGACATCATTGTAACCGAACATCCTCCCCACAGAGCTCTGCGACCCGGCGACCCCGGGTTCTGCGCCAGGGCTCGGGTGCCGATGCCCTCCAACAAGGACTACGTGGTCCGACCCAAGTGGAACGTAGAGGTGGAGTCCAACAGGGTGAGTGTGTTTGTTCTTTTCAGTGTTTGAGTCTTTGGGTCCCCTGTAGAGGCTTTAATGTAGAGCTGGGTATCACTGACACTGTCTCACTACGTCGGTAGAGCCCGTTGGAGTCCGGTAGAGCCCGTTGGAGCCAGTTGGAGTCCGGTAGAGCCAGTTGGAGTCCGGTAGAGCCAGTTGGAGTCCGGTAGAGCCAGTTGGAGTCCGGTAGAGCCCGTTGGAGTCCGGTAGAGCCCGTTGGAGCCTAGAGCCCGTTAGAGCCCGGTAGAGCCCGTTGGAGTCGGTAGAGCCCGGTTGGAGTCTGGTAGAGCCCGTTGGAGTCCGTTGGAGTCTGGTAGAGCCCGTTGGAGTCCGGTAGAGCCCGTTGGAGTCCGGTAGAGCCCGTTGGAGCCCGGTAGAGCCAGTTGGAGTCCGGTAGAGCCAGTTGGAGTCCGGTAGAGCCCGTTGGAGCCCAGTTGGAGCCCGGTAGAGCCCGTTAGAGCCCGTTGGAGTCCGGTAGAGCCAGTTGGAGTCTGGTAGAGCCCGTTGGAGTCCGTTAGAGCGCGCTCAGAACCGGAAGCAACGCTGTCGCAGTGCTGATGATCAGTGACGTTAATGATCATTTATCTAATGAACGATCGATCCACTTTAAGCTCTATGAAAGCCAAATTTAAGGTTTTTAATGAACTTTATTCTGATAAATTAGAGGAGTCAGAACTGTTGTTGTTGTAAACAGAGTTCTTAAACATTAAATCATCTGTTGTTGATGTATATTTATCTGTAACTATATCTCAGTCTTTATTCGGCTTCTTTTTAAAATACCAAAATATGAAATTGTTTATTTCATCGGCTAAAAATCGTCCATATCGTGGATCACTGCGTATCTTAGTTACCGCCATATTGGATGGTCGTTTTGCCCTCCAGGGTCATGTGACTGTAAACTATGAATACACCATCGTAGTATCTGACTGAGACCTCTGACAGCTGTAGTTCTCTCTGTAAGAAATGTTACCGCCTCGGCTGCTGATCCTCCGTCCCCGTGGTGGCGAGGAGGCGGCGGTCGGGTACCCAGCCCTACCTTAATGCGCAGGTTATTATCAGGAAATATCTTTTTATTTATATTTATTTTCTTTTGCAGTTCATCAGTTCAATGTTAGAAAGAAATGTCCACGTGACAGGAAGCTGTTAGTTATACAGAAGATTAAAACTTATTTAATTTCCTGTTAACATTTTATTTCTGGGACATAAACTGTAAATGTGGAACAGCAGGGATCAGAAAAGATTACCCCTGAAGGGCAGTTAGTGCACTCGCTGAGCTGTGATTGGTCCTCTGTAGAGCGGCTATAAGAAAGGCCTCAGCCTGCTGGAGAAGCACAAGCGTCGCTTTGCCGAGCAGAGGAAAATCAACCGGCCTCAGGGCGCCGTGAAGATCAGCATAGAGGGCAACAGAATGCCCCTGTAGTTCCCGCCGTCGGCCTGTGGGGGGGCAGTAAGTCCTTCTGCATGGTGTGACGGTCCTAAAACCTGTGTGAGGTTTCCTCTGGAGAGGACGCTCCGCTCTACGTTAACAGAGGGCAGCGCCTGTCTTTAGGAAACCGACTGACCTCTGCCTCACTGCTGACCTCTGCCTCTGATCTAACCTACACACACACACACACACACACACACACACACACACACACACACTGCCTGCTCTAGAATCGATACAGATCATTTCATCTGCAGTGTTATCAGCAAACCTTTTAATGGCTGCGTTCTTCAGCGTTTCCACGGATACGGTGAATAAACATGGCTGCACAGACGGCGTTACTATTCAACTAATTTAACTTGTGTGTCCTTCGTGTCCTGATGTGGTGTCTCTGTGTCTGCAGGGTCCGATGAAGAAGGGTTTGTCCCGCGTCGATAAACAGATGCGTAGAATCGCCGACATCCGCCGCCTGACGAAGCCGGGTCACGCCGTTAAAATCAGCGTGGAAGGAAACCGGATGCCGCTCTGATTTTAACCTCTGTAGGATTTATTCTCTTTTTTGTTTTTTTTCTTTTTTGTTTTAATGTGTTGCTCCTGAACAAGCCCCCCCCCCTCAGGTCCAGATCTGCCTTACAGTAGGGCGGAGGTCACATAGAGTCAGAATGTGAATATCTGCTGTAAAACTGTCTGAAGTCTTTTTGGTCTTCGGCTCCAAAATGATCCAGAGAATAAAATATACTGTTGATGTTAGCAGGTAGCTACATTAGCTTTAGCTCCATCGCAAGCTAATTATCGATCATGTTTAACATATTGTTAGCTAGCTAGCGTGTTAGCAGTGGGTTGATTTGGAGATGAACTTATGCAAGGCCACAGTTTCAGCTAATGCCACTCGGGGTAATGTTAGCAGCTACATTAGAGGATCGGTTTGGGGATAAACTTTATAATATTTGGTACAGGACCTCCTCCCGGCCCTCTGTCCTGAATGTGAAGGTGTTTTTGTTAATCAGCCGGTCGGACCTCCTCCTCGGTGCAGTTTGTCCCCCGTGTGCTCCCGTAGCGGCTGTACTGAAGTCTGTCTGCAGGACTCGGTTCACACACTGGTTCTGCTGGATTCTGGTGTCGGGTCCGGTCCAGAGCCCGTCTGTCTGCACTGTTCTGGATCAGATGATACTTTTCTTAATAAAGACTCAACAGAAAGTCTCAACTCTTTATTTCTTATGTTGGTGAGGTGGAATCTGAGTTTACGGTTTTAGTTTCTTACTGACTGAGTTTCGATGTGTTCGGGTGTTTTTAAGACAATAAAGTTTAAACATTTAAATAAGTAAATAATGTGATTAAATACAATTTCTACACCCCTTTTGTTTATGTTGATTCACTTTAAATATTATTTCACATCACTTGAAAAAAAGCCTGAAAACAAAATGAAATGAGGAGTTTGAGGCTGCAGCAGTCTCAGTAAGAGTTCTGGTTTAATAACCAATATCCATCAATAATCAATAAAACACAGCTGTGATCATTCACTCTTTATTGTTATTGAACTTGAGGCAGTGAGAAGCATTCAGGAACAGGACTGAACGGAGACCAGATTAAAGTGGCATCATTCGAACCTCTGACACTGAGGAAGTGTCTCCACCGCTCTCGCCGCCGCCGCCACGTCACGTTATATATATTTATATATATTTAAATATATATTTATAAATATATATAATATAAATAAAACATTCTGCTGCTCGTTGAACGGATAATACACTTCAATAACTTCAATAATCCCAAAATATCCCTTTAATACGTCAACTTTATGGTCACTGGTGTTGCTGGTTGGTCGGCGGTGGAGACGTCTCTCAGCGTGTCGTCCTGCTGTAAACAGACCGGCTGCACCGCGGCAGAAAAACAACTCTGAGGCAGAAACTCGAGTCAAGTCAGGTCACATGTTCAGTCGAGGCGGCAGACGCCTCCAGTCACAGGTGGAAGGGCTGGTGATGCATTCAGGTGATAGGTGGGAGGGCTGGTGATGCATTCAGGTGATAGGTGGGAGGGCTGGTGATGCATTCAGGTGATAGGTGGAAGGGCTGGTGATGCATTCAGGTGATAGGTGGGAGGGCTGGTGATGCATTCAGGTGATAGGTGGTGAAACTTTGTGAAGTTTAATTGTTGGAAGTTGTTTTTAATGTTGCTGTTAGCGACCCTTTACGATGCTGCAGACACATTTGTGTAAAATAAAATAAAGGTTTTCCTGATGATAATGTGAACGACAATGTTTGTGTCTTTATTTCAAACATTTGAGGAAGATTTTAAAGACTCTAAAAGCCGATTCTTCAGTTTCTATGTGACTAAAATCAGTTTTAGATTCTCTTTAAGACTCTATGAAGTCTGATCAATAATCAATCGATTGGACTTCATTGTATTGCTGCTTTGGTCCCGACCTTTCAGACTTATGTGATACGTTTACCAAACTGCACCTGAATGCACCATCGGTAAACATTCAGCTGTGTGTGTGTGTGTGTGGGGGGGGGTGTCCAGGTGAAGTGAAGGTGGATGATTGACAGGCGTGGCTCGGCAGGTGATTGGCTGTTTCATGCATCTGGTGAATCCTCTGCAGAGAGAGAGAGTCGTCAGTGAGGCGTTCAGGTGATTGATAAAGTGTGGGAGAGCAGCGAGTACCTGTCCAGAGGAGGGCGCTGTAGAGAGGGGGCGGGCTGTCAGAGGGAGGGGGCGTGGTCTATCCTCGGCCGTTCGGTAGACGACTCATTCCGATCCGGTCGATGGGAGGCGGATTGACTCGTCGCCGCGGCGACTCGACGACCTTGCTGCAAACAGAAACAGGTTGAAGAAGCTGCGGAGGTCAAATCATATTCCAAAGCTTCCTGTCAGATTCTAAAGCATTTTATTAACTTTGTATCAGCAATGAGTGAACGAGGTTGTAACAGAACACAGTGGAACCAGGAACCTCTCAGGGTTCTGGTTCTGGGTCGTCCTACCTCTGCTTGTTGGTCCCCTGTTTGGTTTCCATGGAGTTGACCGACAGGCGGTCCAGCGGGGCGTTGTTGCCGGGGAAACTCCTCTTCCTCTTTGGCTCCATGACGTCATTCTCCATCCTCACCTGGTCGTCCAATCGGAGCAGCTTCGCCGTTAGCTCCTCCCCCGCCTTCGCCACTCTGGGACGAAGACCCGCCGAAGACCTGGACGCGGGCCGGTCTACGTGCTGGAACACAGACACGAGGACGTCCATCAACTTTATCTATCGTGACTTTTTAAGCCGAAACATCTGAATTGCCACGACAACCAGGTAACACCTGCTGGGGAAGATCATGTGACCTCTGTTGGCAGAGGTCAGGTGTTTATTAGTAGACGAACCAGGATAGGTCTATGTACAGGAACACAGCTGGGATAGGTCTATGTACAGAAACGCAGCTGGGATAGGTCTATGTACAGGAACGCAGCTGGGATAGGTCTATGTACAGAAACGCAGCTGGGATAGGTCTATGTACAGGAACACAGCTGGGATAGGTCTATGTACAGATATGCATTCAGGGACACTGAAACAAAAGAATGGGCTATGTCTATGTGCTGGCACACAGTAGGCGGACACACTGATGTAGAGCAGTGCTGTTGTAACATAAGCTGGGTAGAATGGGATCAGTCTACATACTGGAACACAAGGATGGTTTCACTTTCCACCGCACACACTCGAGCGGTCGTCTCTGTTAAACGTGAACGCCTCCATATTTTATTTTCTATAAGGGAGTCTCCGTATAGCAAATATTGACCTCCGCAGAGGAAGGCCGCCCTGCTCCTCGCCCTCCGCCTCGCCGGCTGTTTTCATACGTCAGGACTCCATGTTGTGAGTCACTTCTTACATCACGACCCTGACGGCGAGCAGCTCCTGACTTCCTGTGCGCCCGCGGGCCTCCGATGAGTCACAGGATCAGATATCGTCCAGACTAAACAGAAAACAGCGTCGGGTTTGTCTTTGTGTTGACCTCCGCTCTGATGTTCCTCCACCTGATATCAGCACAGGGGCCTCTGAGGGAGGGGCCGTTTGTTTTGGCCCTCAGGACTCGGAGGAACCGAGAGTTCGATTCCCCTCTGAGATACAGCAGAGTGCAGGTCAGTTTCTGTAAGGAGGTTACGATGATCTGAATAACAACCTGAGTCTGTCAGTGGACGGACAGTACACACGTTTACGTACACGGAAATATTTCACCTTCTAACTCACTAAAGATTTATTCCACCAAACCAGAGTTGGTGAGCCACCGTAACCAAACTCATTAAAGGTTCCTCAGCTTCAGTCCTCTGAGACCGAAGACCAGTTCATTCAGGAGCTTATTCTGACCTGAGCGGGTTGGACCCTGAAGGCATCGGCGCCGCAGTGGAGCAGAGTGATGGACAGCAGGCAGGACAACAGCAAACAGCCACAGAACTGCATCTGCAACAACAACAACAACAACAACAACAACAACAACAACCTGTCAGGATCAGATCTGATGTTACACTGCTTGTTTATTCCGAAGCTCAATAATATTTCACAGAACCGACGGCGGACAGCAGACGATGTGTTCAGGAGCCGGAGTTTCCCAGCTGCACCTGAACGCAGCATTTAAAGCGTTTTCTACGAACTGACAGAAAACATCCAGCAAACGTTTCTTTAGTTTATAGTTTTATAGTTTATGTTTCTGGAGACACGACGCAGCTCATTTATCTACGTTTACATTGCGGCTGTGCAATGCATTGTGGGACATCAGCAGCTCACTGATAAAACAAACTTTATAAGTTCGATTACGACGATTATTGAGTATAAAATCATTCACTTTGTCACACACACACACACACACACACACACACACACACACACACTCACACACACACACACACACTCACACACACACACACACACACACACACACACACACAGACACTTTTAGCTCAGCTGAGAACCGTATTGTCCAGCAACATCGGCTAATTTTAGCATTTTCCATCCCTGCAAATAAATGTCTTTTCACTGTCACGTGCACGCTTGCTGACGTGCACTCTACTGCATTCCCCCCACACACACACACACACACACACACACCTTCTCTGTGTGTCTTTGTTGTTCTCAGTGAACTTCCATTCACACCACTGATATCTGCTGACGTCCTGCAGCTCTCATTTATGCACACACACACACACACACACACACTGACAGACACACACACACACACACTGACAGACACA